CCCTGTGATGTGATATTCTTCCAGTGGAATCTCCTCCCCACCAGTTTTTCCTGCCCTCCTCGCCCGGTTAAATGCAAACCAGGGAAGCAGACATGCTCACTCTCCATGATACCATCCCCATTTCTGACAACTGGAGCGCCGAGAGGAGAAGAAGAGGTCACCAGCTGGCTGCCCAGGTTCACCCTGCTGACCTCTGGTCCCAGCATGGCCGCAGGGTCCGTGATGGTAGACATCACCTCATCGATTAATTCCATTGGAATATCCCCCATAACCCGAGGTTTCTTGGCCTCTTCTAATACATGAGTGTCATTCATTTTCCTCTTTTCTCCTGTAATAATCAAAATAAAAGGGCAAACAATGGGTTATTTTAAACACAAAGCAGATAACACAAAGTCAACCAATCCAACCAATTTCCTAATAACACTAATGGATATGAAAGTCAACTTTCCATTTACTCAGGGAAAGCGTGGCAGTGGGAGGTGGGAGAGACAGTAACTGCTAACCACAGAGTCACTCTGAATATTTTCTATTCCCTGTGATAATTTTTTAACGTGATGTATAAGGCCTTAAGGTATGAATTTCTTCACATGCAAACGCAAGCGGTGATTCTAGTTATCATTGGTCATTAATCTCTAATTTAGTTCCTTTGTGTTTCGAGAACATAGTCCATGTAACACCAAAACATCGGTGCTTCTGCCATCATCATAATGACATATTCTGTTCCAACATTTTTTGAAACTTGTTTTATGGCCTAAAACATGACCAATTACTTAAATGTGTAGTGTCTTCTTAGAAAGAATGTGTNATATATAAATATCTTCTATAGGATCAATACAAGAAAAAGAGAGACAGCCTAAAAGAAAATTTCTCAAAGGAAAGGAACAAGCAATAAATATTGCCAATAAATATAAAAATGTTGTGAGATCTCATTAGTAATCAAAGCACTCCATCAGGAGATGCAATATTTCACTCAACAGTATGCAAATATCTTTAAGGTTAATGGTACCCAGCCAGCATCAGTAAGGATAGGGGGACATGGTACTCGCCAATCCCACTGGTGAAAATGTAAATTGGTAAATCCATTGAAAAGGGCAATCTGGAAATATTTTTATTTTCAATTTAGAGTGGCCATATTCATTCATGCAGCATTTCTACTTCTCAGTTTCTACAAAAACATTTCCAAACAGAGCACTGTTTGTGATAGGAAGCAGCATAAATGTCAACAGGGAAGTGGTTACATAAATTACGGTGCATCTACATTATGAAATGCTATATAAAAAGAATAATATAGATCTATATTAGCACTGTTTAATAGAAATTTCTACAGTGATGAAAATGTTCTTTATCTATGCTATCCAATATGGTAGCCATTAGTCACATGCGGCTATTGAGTACCTGAGTGACTAAAAAACACAATTTTAAATTTTATTTAATTTTAGTTGATCTAAATATAAATGTGAATAACTACATATATGCACTAACGTTGAAAGATCCCTAAGACCTAATGGCAAGTATTTCTTTAAGTATGTATAGTATGAATTCTATTTATGTAAATAACAATAAAACACATAGTCCTACCTCTTACACACAGGCACATTTCCATGTATGTAAATCAGTACAGAAGCAATGGAAAGACACACACCAAGCTGACAATAGTGGAATGGCAGGGCGAAGAGGGAGAGGGAGTTTTGTTTTATCTGAAAAATGTATGTGTGTGTGACCTATGTGGTTTAAAACTATTTTTAAAAAAAATGAAACTGAAGAAAAGAAAAGGGTTAGCTATAGGAATAGTAATGTCTAGAAATTAGTAAAAAAATGTGTCTTCTGATGAAATTCTCTTTAACGTAGATGGGGCTGATAGAAGACAGCTAGGGTTTTGTTACATACACCACCTTGTAAGGAATTAATGGAACTATAAATTTTCTCCCATTCACCCACAATCCAATGATTTACTCAAGAACAACAATAATGGCTCTTTTGTAAATAGCTTCTCAAAACCTACATATTTTTTTATCAGTGGCCACTAATTTGTCACCTCTCCACAGAAATTTTCCATATTCCAAGTTGCTTGAGAGTAAGGGCTGTGCCTTTTAACTTGAATCCTCGCTGTGTTCAGTATTGTGACTGGGAACAGTGGTAGCTTAAATATTTCTTTGGTTAAAGAGGCATTGACATCGTTAAGCTATTATAAGCAAATGTTTAGTTTTTCACCCCAGAACTATTTCCCTTGTTTATATGCCTTTACTTTTAACGGTCACCAAAAGGATTCTTTTCCAAATCCAACTGGGAACTTCAGTGTTTATTTAAATGTTTATTATGGTAAACAAGTATTAGGTATATAACTTTAAAGTTGCATATGGTATCAAATCCAAATAATTCTCAGTTGACAAGATATTCTAAAACCAGTTGAGGAACTTCAAGTAAATTCTCAAATGTTATATTGTGTGTACTTGGAGCAAGATAAATCCACATACAAATCTTACTTAAAGCATTCACAGAAATTTGGTTGTAAGCGTGATACTCCAAAAGGAGTGGGATACATATTTTAAAGTATTATTTAGCCAAGATTTTTAATATGTTAAGTAAAAATTTTAAACTTCCATTTATGAACTTGTTGTTTTCACAAATAGGTACTACAGCACTGGCTTCCACCAAACTCATCCACTCTCTTCAGTTTTGAACAAATAATCTTCATTTTCTCAAACTACCACTTTCAGTCATTTACAAAAACTGGTTTTTTTCCTAGTTCTTCCCACTAAATTTGTGATGTTTGGCCACCTTCCTTCACGTCTTTAGAAAATTACATGGTTTGGGGGGTGGGGGGAAGTGCCCTTCTGGAAAGTAATAAACAAAGTGTCCAATTCATATTAAATCCCTTTAGTTTTTCTCCGGTATCCCTGTAAAAGTGTCCAAGTCAACCTTAATCAACCTTTCCACACAAGGTGCTTGGTGACACTTTCTTTGAAAACAAAAATTATGCAACCTTTTTCTGAAATTATAAACCAAAGACACATTTTCCAGCTCCTCTCCCTATGAAAAGCCAAACAAAATTTTCCTTTTAGATAAGTTCCCAAGCTCTGGACATTTGGAATTGTTTCTCACTTTGGCTAGAGGGAAATTAAAACGTGATAAATACAACAACAGCACCATCTAAAGACACACTGTCAGAATTCCTTAAAAAAGAACCAGAGATCAGTTTCAAGCAAATCTGGGCCCTCACTTTCCCCAGTCAGAATGACGAATGGAAGACATGAATTCTGTTTGCCCTTTCATGCTTAGGATTATGAATCAAAGTCCAAAAGCCACATGAGAATAAATAATCTCACTGGCTATAATTGGCACCATGACCAGAGGAAAGTTGTTAATGAAAGCAAAAGGACCCACACCACTAGCTGTAGCCCTCAAGCAAGAGTGACTTATTTTTAATTTTTGTAAATGGCATTGCTTCTTTGTAGCTGCAGGAGGCAACAACGTCCCTAGACCTGCCACTGTCCAACCCAGGAGCCACTGGCCATGTGTGCCCAAGGAGCACCTGAAATGTGGCTAGTCCAAATTGAGACAGGTACTAAGTGTAAAATACACACGTGATTTCAGAGACTTAGTACAAAACAAAGAATGTAGAATGTCTCATTAATAATTCTTTGTGACGTTGAGTACCTGTTGCAAGGAAATACTTTGGACATACTGGATAAAATAAAATATATTAAGAAACGAATTTTGTTTTTAATATAGCTGCTAAAAAATGTAAAATCACATATATGGTGACATTTGCATGGCGCATCAGACCTTCCCATGATTTTTCTCAGCAGCCATCGAATCCTGAGCTGCTTATCTTTCCAGCACCAACTGCATTTTTGCATGATCCTCTTTAGGGCTCCCAAAATGCCAAACAAATAATATTCTAAAGACATACTTCTTGCTTCCATTTTCCTAAGGGCAGCAGAGTAGAATACAACATAATCTAGATCGGACCTCTTTCTGCCAAGTCAGAGTCTAGTTTATTCCAGTCAGACTGCGATACCAACTGTGATATCAATGAAACGGCCACACTTCCTGGGGAGGAAGGAACCGATGCCAAGAATAACTAGGAAGGTAAACTAGCCACACAAACCGACCTCTAAAAAACACTACATTCCAAACCCTGCACAGATATTTCTGAAACTGAGTCATAAGTTTCAAATTTTTCAAAACTTCCCTTGTAGAGTTTTCTTTAGTCCCTGTCCCCCTCTCGGGACAAGATCATAAAAAATCTTCCTGAAGTAAAAGCCACCTACATCATCTTTCTAATCCCCGTCACTCCACATCCTTTTTGGTGCTTCAGTGTCACCAGGGGTGTATTGTGTGTATCAGTGTGCATGTGTCAACAAACAATGAACAATGCAATTTATTTTCAAATACCCCCTCACTTGCCATGGACTACACTTGGGTTGCATTTGGGGCTGTGCAGTGTCCCTGTACCTTGCCCCAAGGACCAACAAAGCCTTGGTGGAACCTGACCTGTTGGTGTGTGGAACCATTTACTCTCTTCGCACACATCCACGTACACTCCCAATGAGAGGACTCTTTTCAGAAAGTTCTAAACTCCACTCTGTTTGAAGCTTTGACATGGCACAGAGATACTTTCCCAAGCTCTGCAGCTCTGGTGAGAAGCACCACGTCCTGCTTTTCTTTGAAGACCTTGAGTTACCCTTACCTTGACTTGCTCATTTGAGGTTACAGCACAGAAAACAATCTCAGTGAATCCTTGGGATGGGAACATACGGAAACAGATACCACCAATAACACGGCCATCTTTGATTAAAGCAAGGGTTTTGTGTTTCCTGAAAGAATAAGATTATATCAAAGTTTTATCTATCTTGGTTATATGTACTTTTAGGGGTGTTCGTTACTAACCAACCAGGAAGGGAGGCGGTGTTTTTCTTGAATTTCTATGGAAACCTCCTTTATCTAGCCACTATCTCACCAGACCCTTCTTTAATTCAATGTGAACATTTTAGAGCAAGCTTGTCTGCACAAGTTGTTATCAGAGCTTCCACCGGAACAAAATGCTTGCCACCTATGGAGCGTCTGAGGTTTACAAATACAGAACAGAGTACTGGAATGGGGGTTCACCCAATGCCAAAGGACCCATGGTAGGGAAAATC